CAAGACTTCTGGAACAATGTCCTTCAAACAGATGAGACAACGTTTGGTGAAAATCAATCACAGCATATCAGCACAAACACCTCATGCCAACTGTCAAGCATGGAGGTGGAGGGGTGATAATCTGGGCTTGTTTTGAAACCACACAACCTGAGCACCATGCAGGCACTGAGTCAAACCTTAAGTCGTCTGTATTCCAAACTCTTCTAGCATCAACAGGAGATAAGATGTACCACAACGTAAGGAGTGCTCTGACATGTTGATAAATATGTTTTTTTCCTTTCTCGCAGTGTTTCAGCTAACATTCAGCTAACCCTCTTAGGGACACTAAAGTCCGGTCTACGTGGGCAGGGTCCTCAGAAGATTGGGTAGGCCGGAAGTAAACGGCTTTGAAATTGGACGGTCTAGCCTTCAGATTTGCGTCACCGCTGTCTCGGTGGAGTTTAATAAACTCAGCTGTCTGCTCCTTGCTATCTGAAATATAACATGACACTGGCGTAAATTCTCGACCATCTCACACTTCTGTTTAATCAGTTTTCTGTTTGACGTTTATTCAGCTGTGTGAAAACCAAGGAGGAACCCACCCGAGCAATTAATGCCGAGCGATTAATAAAGTTTTATTTTATCTAATCAAATCAATAAACTTTAATCTCAGCCAAACCGATTTACTCACGAACAAGTAAAACACTGAAAAAAGCCAAACAATAACATTTTTAGTTTATCTAAGTGACTTATATATCACATTTAATCTGAGGAGCGAAAGACCGCGGTGATCTGAACATGATGTGCCGGGAGTTTGCCGTTCTTGCCGGCTCTAGTGACCCTCGAGCTCCCAGCTAGCTATCGAGCTGTTGGGTAACAGACGTCGCCGAAAATGTCGGAGCACGTTTGATATCTTGATAAACCGAGCAGATATTTGAAGTTTACACAGCTACATTCTCACCTGAAAATATGTTAAAAGTTTATTTTGTGACCCAGAAAGAGTAATAAGAGTAATATTAAAACTTAGTAGCAGCCGCCATTGTTGAAAACTGGAATTGGCTGGGCCACGCTATGAATTCTGGGATATAGTGGGCCACAAAGGATACACCCAACCCATCCTTCAAATTCGGGGAAAAGGAGGATGCATTTGTCAGCTGCATTCGGAGGAGTCTACGAATTTGGACAGCCTTTGTCGCGTTGCTGTGACGTAATCGGTCTACAAATGCGGCCTCAGGAGGATGCAGCCCATTAATTTGGACACCATTTAGGGACACTCCCAATAGGGCTTAAAAAATCTGGGACTCTCCACCAGTTGCTCTTAGAACTGAAAAAGCTCCTCAGATGACATGTTAAACGTCTTCAAGAAACTTCAAGAAGTCCAGACACTTTTCTTTTCACCCTCCTTAGCTTTAGCTAACGCTTGTCCAAACTGGATCTTGCATTAAGGCAACAATCCCAAACATATCAGCAAATCTACAACCGAATGGTTGAAAAAGAAAAGAGTCAAGGTGTTGCGACGGGCCAGTCCAAGTCCAGACCTCAACCCGATTGAAATGCTGCAGCGAGCTTAACAGAGCTGTGTATACACAAATGCCCACAAACCTCAATGAGCTGAAGCAACGCTATAATGAAGAGTGGAAGAGTTTCTATGGGCACTGCAGTGTCCACAGAAACTATTTATCGTCACATGTAACACGTTTGATAAACATACAATGACAATACAAACAGCTGAGTTATTTAAACAGATGTAAAACTGTGGTGGGGTTATGCCATGCTCTGTATAAATTAGCCCCAGTAAATGGCAGAAAGTGTTGTAGTAAGATCCTACAAGGTGATGTTGGTTGGTTTTTTTAACCCTTCACTCAAAAGATAAACAATTGCTTATTTTGGGGGAAAGTACTAGGACCCTGCTGAAGACTGAAACCAAACTGGAAAGCAAACTTGGACCAGTGATCTACCATTTATCTGTTCACACGTCTATATTTTTTCCATATTCTAATTATCCTAAGTGGTTCTCTTTTTGTCAGTTTAATTGCACAGTATCAGCTGTATCAGCTACTTTACACCAAATGACGTTTTATAAAGCTGACGCAGTGATTCTCAAACTGTTAAACTGAAGCAGCATCTGCTTACAACAACAAATTGTTTCATAGGCCTGGAGATATGATCATTTCAGACAGACTGTGAAATGCCAAACTCCACAGGACTCACATTAAAATAGGCAATGAAATCTATATTTAAGAAGAAAAATTGTATTTAACATGATTTCAATGGCCCATTAATCATCCTGTGTGACCACAGAGTTTAGAAACCCCAATCTAGATTAAATTAGACAATAAAAATCTAAGCTAGCTACAGGATAACTTAGAAAGTATTTAGCGGTGGTGAACGAAAAGTACAGATTGGTGTATTCAGCAAGATCATTAGGGCCTTTAGTTTTATTGTATTGCTGAAATATTGCAATCGAAATGATACCAGTGCTTAATTAAGCAAGTTATATTTATTTATTTTTTATTGTGCAGGCTTACTTTATTTTCTATATATTTCCTAAGTTTTTTTTATCTATATTTATTAGAGTGGGGTTACCTTGTAGTCATACACCCTCAATGTGACCCTCACCTTTGCTTCAGCACATTTTGCCTATCTCTGTTTTTTTCAGTCATTATCCCCCTGCAGATCTGTTAGAATCTGCCTGTTTGCTTTCCTGTTGGTCTGGTAGCTCGCCCATGTGCCTCTGTGTCCATGACCAGATGGATGTGGGAGTCTGCTGGCTAGTGAGCCAACTACAGTGACAAACCCTGCTAATGGAGACACCAGAGGAGGCTGTGATACAGGCTCTATCAGGTAATAGAGCAGCGGTTAGCCTGGCCAGTTAGAGGAAGAGAGCACAGGAAATCAGCAGCACAGAGGGCCCTTGGCTTTGTGAGAAAGATCAATAGCTTGTTTGGATGTGGTTCCCTCCTCCTAGAGTGCCAACCTTTACCCCTCCGCATCCAGCATTGTGGGGAAAAAACAGATGGATACATAGACACACACATGCACACACACGCAGATCAAAAAGGTTGTCTGTACACACTGGCCAGGCAGACATCTGACACATCTGAGTGCCCCCGCACACCCACCCCATTCCCCACCCACAATCCCCTTTCCTTACCCCTCCTCATCCAGCTTCTTTTGTTTCACACAAATGTTCATCTCTGGAGACTGGCTGACTCCACAGAGTACTGCAGTGTGGTGAACACACATTCTACAAACAGGCCTCACAATCTAGATACGCCTATCAGCTTTATGTTATTTATTTATTTTGCATATGTTTTAATTGTTGTTGTTATTCTGTAATATAGGTATTAATAACTGCGGTGCTAATATTTTTGGACAACTGTGTCGTCGTTTCAATTTTTTAAAACTGGAAATTATTTTTAAGTTTGAGTTGGTTGTTCACACTTGACATGTTCAAATTATTACTTGTATACATTTATAAGAGAAGGAAGCCTGATCAGCATTCATATTCACATTCATCACATGACTCTATATAGAGGTCCATAGGATGTTATGCTAATGCTTTGCTATTATTAAAAGTGGCAGAGTGCATGGAAAGAGCCAAATGTCTGGCATGTGACAAAAATTTATATTTGTATCATGAGCCAGGTATTTGGCTCTTATCATGGAGTCTGCTATTTTAGGAATAGTAAGTATGGAAGGAGCACAGGCAACAGAAACTATCCCAAAACTATACCACCCTATAGGACTTATTTTTAAACAAAAAACTGAATCTGTCAAAACCAATGAATTCAAACAGCTGGATTAAATTACAGCACTTTGGTGGATTGGAGTACTAACATCCACGGGTTTTTGTTTTTCTTATAGATCAGATATGTGGGTCTTATAATCTGCCATCAACAACTACCAGATTAAAACCTAAACAGAGAGGATTTGTGCTTCTACCGCCCCAAACTAAACAAGATTTATCCTCTTAACTGTTGACATATGATATTTCCGCTACAGTTGCGGTAGAATTTTGTCTTAAAGCCCATGTGCAAAGATAAACCATGAAATATGGTCTACGTAGCAGATAGCACCCAAATATAGCAATAAAATTACTTTGCATAGACTTTTCCCGTAATTTTAATAGAAAAAATTTGATAAGTGTTTAAAAAATTCAGAACACATTTTTGGATACAGTAAACATCTGCATCTATAGAAGCCTGTTTGAAGTTGATAGGGACAGATAGGTCATGCAAGAAGAGTGAGGCGTATTTACAAATTCATATATGACATATATGTTTACATCTATTTTACAGTAGCAGCTCAGTACAGTCTCTTAGGTGGGGTCTGGGATTTTAGGATTCCTCTGTAGGCTACTTTCACTTATGTTAGCCATTATGTTGTCCACTGCTACCAAGACAATTACAGGCCGCGGTAACACTCAGTAAAGTCAAAACACCTTCATTAAAGCCCTTTCCGCGTCCAAGAAGGCTCCAAACGCCATTCGTAAAGCAGCCGGAGGCGGTAGGGGCTCTTACCTGAGCTGTCCATGGTGCTGCAGTCCTCCTCTCTCAGCGGGCCCGCCTTCGGTCCGAGGGTGGCCGCTATGGAGCCTCCAAGTGTGCCGCCGCTGCTCCCTCTGCCGATGCTGAAGCTATCCCCTCCGCTATCGACCAGCTGCAAAGATTCATATCCATCGTAACTGCTCTTTTTCTTGTAGGCCCCCAGCAAGCTCATACCCAAAGGAAACAAAAGAAGGGAAATTAAACACAAAAGAACCCCAGAAGACGTAGAAAGCGACGCCGTCACCGCCGCTGCTGCCCGAGCTGCTACTGCTGCTAGTGCCTCCTCCTCTGCTGCTGCTGCTGGGTGCACCACATGTCCGGGGATGAGAGGGTGGCCGCTCTCCTCTGTTTGTGATAGAAAACCGGGTGGTCTCTCTCTCTCTTTCTCTCTCCCTCTCTCTCTCTCCTCTATTGCGTCCTCCTTTTCTCAGCAGCGCATTCTACTACGACGATTGTGCTACTGCTGTAGTCCCCGACTGAGTACAAGGGAAATCCACCCCAACTCACTCACAGTCGTCCTGCGTTAAAGCTGCACTCACACTCTCTAATAGGCTGGTTGAGACTAGAAGCATTCGTTTAAATCTGGTAAGTAATATCCCAAATCTTTCACTTGCAAAATATTAGGACAATTGTAAAGAACTGCACTTACTTCCAGTGTTTATGCTGGATTAAATCATATTAAATGTCCCAAAATAGTTCAAAATGCATGTCACGGTATAACAGAGTCCATGTCTTTAAGTGACTTGTTTTGGTCAAAACTAATAAAGAACCCAAAGGTATTAAAATTTACAATAAGACAGCAAAATATGGACTTAAAATGGACTCACATAATCAACAGATGATTTGAACAGTGGCTTCTTTTCTCCCAGTAAATCAGTTCATTTTTTAAGTGATGAAGGGTACTAAACTGTTGGATTTCCACACTCGAGTCAAATGATGAATCGTGCTTGCAATGACATGTGCATAGTAGAGGCAGAGATTTGAATGGTCTGAGGTGTGTGTGTGGATGAATTATTGATTTAAATGATAATGCTCCCAGTGTTGCAATTGAACACCTGAATTTATTTAGAGCCGCTTTTGTTTGTGTAAATAAGGTCCAGATTAGAAGTCTGGGACCGTAACTGAGAACAGTTTTCATTTGACTCCTGCACTAAAAATGAACAGGGACTCCTGGCTCTGTCAGAATGAATAAGAGCAGGGGCACAATAGTGCCATGCTTTGCCACAAAAAGGAAACTCTTCCTCATAAAGATTTTCTTTTCTTTTTTCATTTTTTCATTTTTTGGACCAACTTGGATTTTAATAGCCATTAAAATTAGGCAGATTTGTCTCTTAGCTCCAAATTTGTCCGTTTCATTTTTGTGTTATGACCCCAAGTCTGTGTAGGACAAAGCACTGACCAGTGATGGCATGCTTCCTTCCTAGGCCTTGTCCCCTGGCAACAAAAACCATGCATGGTTCTGAAAAGAGGACATGAGCCTGGGAAACCCTTTTAGGAAAACAGACGGGAGCTCAAAGCGCAGCGGGAACGGAATGTCCAAAAGGGAAGAATGATACCCCGGCCATAACCGGATGCAACGTGCTGCTCCTGCATTGTTGCAAAGGAGCTTCCAGTCTAGTTCCGAACCGTGCCTTCCAGTATTTAGCCAGTGATGCCCTGCATGTTGAGCACACAGCAAGCAGGTGCAGTATGAGCTCTTTGCTTTGTCATTACACATGAACTTAAATACATATTTGTAGCATGTAATGTGCTTTAATTCATCTCGTTGTGTTTGTCTTTTTGTCTGTTCTGTATTCAGATCTGTATTTTATAATATATAATATAATCTGTAAAAAAGTTTTCTGGCTTTTTTTTTTAAAAAAACTCACTTAAATTCAAATTTTAAACTGATTATATATATGTGTGTGTGTGTGTGTACATGTTTAGACACCTTTGTGAGGACAGACAAATGACATGCTACTATATTTGTGGGGACCAACATTCACTTATGGGGACTAAATGTCCGTTCCCATGATTTTGAAGGCATTTTTCAGACTCTAAATTTGGTTTTGATGTCAAGGTTACAATTAGGCAAAAAATTATGACCACCTCCCTAATAGTATGTTGGTCCCCCTTTCCTGCCAAAACAGCCCTGACCCGTTGACTCCACTAGACCGCTGAAGGTGTGGTATCTGGCTCCCAGATGTTAGCAACAGATCCTTTAAGCCCAATAAGTTGTGACAAGGGGCTTCCATTGATTGAACTTGTTTGTCCAGCACATCCCAAAGATGCTCGACTGGATTGAGATCTGGGGGATTTGGAGGCCAACTCAACACCTCAAACTCCTCAAACCATTCCTGAGATATTTTTTACTTTGTGGGAAGGCCTTCTTCCCATAGTGCATCCTGGTGCCAGGTGTTCCCCAGGTAAGCAGCAAGCACAAACCCAGCCATCTACATGATGTAATAGAAAATATGATTCATAAGACCAGACCACTTTCTTCCATTTCTCTGTGGTCCAGTTCTGTGTCCATTGTACAGTGACGTACAGGGGTCAGCATGGGTACCCTGATTGGTCTGCAGCTATGCAGCCCCTTTCGCAGCAAACTGTGATGCACTGAGTACTCTGACACTAAAGTGAGCTACAGTAGCTCATCTATTGAATACATGGGCCAACCTTTTTGCTGTGAGGTGACAGTGCTAACCACCGCACCACCATACACCTCTTATATTGTTTTCCATTAAATTTTAAATGACATAGGAGAAGCCGCTATTATGACCTTCTGGGAATTCATTTCTATTTCCACTGTACTGCTATATGGCAACTGCTGTAACGTGAAAAGAAGCTGTATCACAGTTTATAATGGTTTTACCATTACCCTCAAAGGTAGTTTGAAGATTAATCATTATCCCTATAACAGTTAAAGCAGAATCCAGGAATCTGCTGCATCAGCTGCACGACTCTGCTGATAAATCAGGTAGCAGACCTGAATCAACTGCTGAGCCGCTGTTGCATCAGTTCTTACATGTCTGAGTAAATATTGTCGCTGGAGTGTGCATTGCTGTAGCTTTCATCAGCACTGTCATGAAAATCTACAGAATGATGCTGCCTGTTTATCTGACTTTCTCTTCACTTAACCATAAAAAGCCTTAAAGCCCTTGTGCATACAATTTATACTGAGCCATAATGAAACCATTTACGCCTGTTTGCATTAAACAAGTCCTCCTCTAAATCCTGAGGGGTGACTATAACATCCTGGTGCGAAAGGTGAGGCAGTGGTTAAACATCAATCCACGCCAAGTCCTGTAATCCGCTCACGTGGTGTGCGTGACGTTTGGTGATGTAAAGATACGCTATTGGATCAAAACAGAGGAGCCTTCCTCTCAACAAGAGCGAGCCCTCGGTGATAAATATGGTGCATGTGATGGAAAATACATAGCACCCTTTCCTCCTACAGCATTATTTAACATCGGTGCTCTGTTTCTTGAAATTTGTCCTGCGAGACTGAATTGAGGACGGGACATACAGGACGTGCTTTTAACTGATTTCCTGAAATGCAGTTATGGTCGAAATCACCTGCCAATAGAAAAATCTAAATACTACTAAAAAAGAAAAGTGCCAGTCCTCGTGACGTGAGCCAGTCACCTCGGGTCGATGCCAGTACGAGCAAAGTAACAATAGCTGTGATTTTCTTGCAGAAGGGACACAATGTCTTATATGCAAAGGGGGGAGGGAAAAATCGTTGCCCCTGACAGAAATAACCCAAATGATGTCATTCATCCTAATCGTGAGCGCATCTTGCAAAATATAGGCCAACTGCACAGAAACAAGTGTATTTTAATTTGTTTAACTCTAATCAATCCTTCTCTTATGCTAACTGGGAGGAAACATTTCTCCTTGGAAGCGAAATCTGTCCACCGAGCAGGGATGAACTGTCAGGGAAGTGGCCACAATCTCCGGAGGTAGATATTATGTAACATCCACACACGGATCGTGATGCTCTCCGCTTCTCTTCCTGCTTTGAGGCAGAGCCCGAGACGATAAATTGTAATTCTCATAAACTCAATCAAAGAGTGCGAATAGAAAATCCAGCAGATGACTTTACCTTTCTGAGCGCCTTCTACCATCCTCCCGGGAGCGCCGTCTTGTGCCGAGGTGGTGATGCGCTTTGCGCTCTGCTCACAGACACCGACCTTTGATTTGTCATTCGCTGCCAGTCAAAGGTCAGTGCGTTAAAAACGCCCTGTGAGACCTGCTGTCATGTAACAACTCCCCGGTAACTCCAGGTTAACCCGTAAAAAATGACAGAAACAACAGGAGGCTACGGCATCATCATATAATCACATTTTGGAACATGATCAACAAACAAAGTCCCGCGATGGCGATTGGTAGATCTGTAGAAGATGTGGATGAGTTAAAGACGAGGCGGTGGTGGGAGTGTGGATGTTCGTGAATTTGTACAGTAGAAACTGCGCCGCTCAGCGCAACCTGCCTGAACTGAAGGGGGAAAACCCGGAGTGGACTGCACGGAGAAGCGAAGAGCAAAGACAATGTTTCCGTACCACACAAAGATGCGTTCAATAATTGTAAAAATCTGCACTGGTGACCGAAAATTCATAAAGCAGATTAAAAAAAAAAAAAAAA